TGTCCAAATTCATGATGTCCTCGTCCGGGAAGTCGAATCTCATGGATTGATAATCTTCGATAGCTTGATGAGCTAGATGGTCAGCTAGTACACTCCCCTTTATAGCTTTTTGGGTAGTATACTGGATGTCATACTCAGTCAGGATCATCTGCCATCTAGCGATTCTTCCAGATAAAGCAGGCTTCTCGAAGATATACTTGATAGGATCCATTTTGGAAATCAACAAAGTGGTATGAGTCAGCATATACTGCCTTAGTCGGCGAGCAGCCCATACCAAAGCGCATCAAGTTTTCTCGAGCAGTGAGTAGCGAGTCTCACAGTCGGTAAAATTTTTGCTAAGGTAATAAATGGTATGCTCTTTTCGACCAGACTCGTCATGCTGGCCCAGTACACACCCCATTGAGTTGTCCAAAACGGTCAGATACATGATCAGCGACCTTCCTTCGACGGGTGGCATTAGAATAGGAGGTTCTAGCAAATACTCCTTGATTTTATCAAAAGCAGCTTGGCAATCGTCGTTCCATTCGACTACCTGATCCTTCTTCAATAGTTTGAAAATTGGCTCACAGGTAGACGTCAGATGAGAGATGAATCTGGCAATATAGTTCAAGCGCCCCAAGAATCCTCTAACCTCCTTTTCAGTACGGGGGGCCGACATTTCTTGTATAGCTTTCACTTTTGCTGGATTGACCTCAATGCCTTTGTTGCTGACAATGAATCCTAGAAGTTTACCAGACCTAACTCCAAAAGTGCACTTACTTGGATTCAGCCTGAGTTTGTACTCCTTTAACCTGGAAAACAGTTTTTGCAAATGTTCAAGGTGTTCCTCTTTCGTTTGTGATCGAGCTATCATTTCGTCTACGTAAACTTCGATCTCATGATATATCATATCATGAAACAAAGCTACCATGGCGCGTTGATAAGTTGCCCCTGCGTTCTTCAGTCCGAACGACATCACCTTATAACAGAAGGTACCCCATTGTGTAACAAAGGTTGTTTTCTCCATGTCCTCAGGGGCCATTTTGATCTGGTTGTAGCCCGAGAATCCGTCCATGAAGGAAAACACCTTGTGTTGAGCTGTGTTGTCAATTAAAATGTCGATATGCGGTAGCGAAAAATCATCCTTAGGGCTAGCCCTGTTCAAATCCTGTTAGTCCACACACATCCTGACCTTGCCGTCTTTTTTAGGTACTGGCACAATGTTAGCAACCCATTATGGATAGGATGTAACAGCCAGAAAGCCAGCGTTGAATTGTTTCATTACTTCTGCTTTAATCTTCTCAGACATGTCGGGCCTCATTCGGCGGACTTTTTTCTTGACCGGTGGACAGTCCTCTCTTGTAAGGAGACGGTGAACCACAATATATGTGTCTAGACCCGGCATGTCCTCATAAGACCAGGCGAAGATTTCAACGTATTCATTTAACAACTGTACCAAGCGCTCCTTGACACTTAGTTCCAGATTGGCACCCACTTGTACTTCCTTCCGGTCTTCCTCTGTTCCTAAGTTGACAGTTTCCAACAACTCTTCGTGAGGCAAGATGACCCTCTCTTCTTGTTGTAGAAGTCTGGCTAGCTCTCCCTGTACTTCACAATCTTCGTCATCTTCATACTCAGCCTGATTGACCAAATCTTCAGAGTTATTGAAGGACATAGCAGAATAGTCACCCATAGAATCCAGAGTGGATGGGTACCTGCATTTGTGAGTGTGGGTGTGTGTAAGGGATAGCCATCCTTAAACAAACAAAAATGCAAAAGGAAAAAAATGAACACAACAGTTTATAAATGAAAAACGTCCAATGAATCATTAAACATGGCATATGGATATGAAGAGAATCAAGACCCTTACAAATGGACCTACATGCCCCGGGCAAGGCATGAGGTGAAAAAGTAGTGTGCAGATTGTTTAAAAGTAATTATTACAGACCAACAGGAAATGTTCGAAAGATAAATTACTGATTAATGAAAGTAATGGGGACGAAGTCTTTCGCCTCCCTGTTGTGTAGTCCCCCTTCGATGGTTGGGAAGATCCAATCTTCAAAGTTACCCTCTTCGTCCTCGTCTTCCAAAGCATTAATTCCATGAGGATAAATCTTGATGGGTGTCCTTTCAATTTTTGAGCGACGCATAGCTTTTTGCCCCGCAGCAGTAAATCCCAACCCAAATTTGTCTGTCTTGTGGGGAAAGTCAGGCAACTGACCCCATGTTGAGCTCTTTCCTTCCTTCATTGCAGCCTTCGCGTCTTTCAGAGATGCCATCCTGGCCACCTGCTTGGGTACCTCAGCTACTGCCTTTTCTACTACAACCTCCAGAGCAATTTCCTCGAAGTGTTGGAACGGTGTTTCAATGAATTCGCCCTCCACCTATACATACCGAAAGGAGTTCAGGTGACTGATCATATATTCCTCTTCACCGTGTACAGTTATGATTTTTCCTTTGACCGGGTATTTCAGCATCTGATGTAGGGAGGAAGTGACTGCGCCAGCATTATGTATCCATGGTCTCCCTAGCAAGCAGGAGTATGACGGACGGATGTCCATCACATAGAAAGTTGAGTGGAATACTTCAGTGCCCACCTTGATGGGAATGTCGACCTCCCCATGCACCATTCTTTTAGACCCGTCAAAGGCCCTGACAATGATATTACTTGGTTTCAGCTCCAAGCCTTCACAATCCAATCGATCGAGAGCCTTCTTAGGCAGCACATTCAGAGAAGAACCAGTGTCGACCAAAACATGGGCAAGAGTAGTTCCTCGGCATTCAACTGACACATGCAATGCGTCATTGTGCTTTCTTCCTTTCGGAGTCAGGTCAGCATCAGAGAAACCCAGGCCGTTGTCGGCGGTAAGGCTGGCTACACAATCTTGGAATTGATCGGCTGAGGTTTCCTGGGGAACATGGGCTGTCTTCAGAAATCTTATCAAGGCCTTGTCATGAGCCTCCGAACAAAGCAGCAAAGCTAACATGGAGATCTTCGAGGGGGTTTGCCCCAGTTGCTCTACCACATCATAATCACTCTTCTTAATTATTTTCAGAATCTCCTCCATTTCTTTCTTAGATGTTTCGGGGATGACCAATGGTTGAGCCCTCGTCTTGACGAGCTCATCTTGGATCCCTTTCCCCTTATCAGCAGAAGTAGGAGGGACAACCACATGAGTAACAACTTCTTCAATCAACGGAGTTCTTACAGAAAGTTTTATCGGTGCAGGAGTAACTTTGGCAGCAGCTGAGGGTCCAAAGATTGCCTTTGGAGGGGCAATCTCTGGAGAGAAAATTCTCCCACTTCGGGTGATCTTGCTCGTACCGGCAATGTTTCCAATGTCGGCATCTTCTTCGTCAGAGCTTTCTTCAGTTATCTCAACTTGTTTAACACCACGGTAGTAGATTTCTCCACCATAATTCCATGGTATTGATTTGTCAGATTTATAGGGGACAGGCCCAGGCATGGTTATTTTGAGAGGAACAATCTTCGTAGTGGATGTAATCTTAACAGGCTTTTTAGGGACCTTGGAAAGATTGGTGGTGTAGCGGTGAAAATCGGAGATCAAGCTATTAATTAACTTGACTCGCAAAAGCAAGAGTCGCCACCGCGCTTTATTATTTCCAAGGGAAAAGGGAAAAGAGCGAAATAAAACCCTAAAATATGCAATGTATAATAATACTTAAAAGTAATAAAAATACAATACGTTTTTGAAAGAGATCGAGAGTTCGGGGGTTGGTTATACAATGGGAAGGTATTAGCACCCAATGCATCTGCGGTACTCCGCAGAAACCTTTTGAAATATCTGTTTTTGGTTAAAATTGTTTGTTTGATAAAAATGGTTCGTTTGGCTAAAAAATGGGTATGGACGAGATTTTGAAGATGCGACGACCTAGTGTCGAAGTTTTGACTTAAAAAGGTGTGAGTTTGAAAATTGAGTCTTTTGGGAAAATTATCTTGAGTTTGGAAAAATAGTAAACAAGCAAAAAATGAATGAGGTTCGCCCAATCATGTGAGATATGTTCGATGACATGAAGTCAACAAATTTAATTCTTTCCCTTGGAGTAAATCGAACAAGTAAAATAAGATGAATCAACAAAGTATAAGCATTCGAAAATTCACAAGAAAACAAATCTAATGAAACAGATTAATGATCAAAGGCATCGAGAAATTAAAATGACAAAGATATTTAAATAAAAGAAAATGGAACTAATTATCTAAGCCAAAATTCTAAGATTACTTACTAAAATAGTTCTAAACTAATTATAAATTCTAAAGTTATAAAAATAATTCTAAAATTACTACACTAGATCTAAACTAAATTAAAATTTTAATGTTAGTAAATTAAATCTAAACTAAATTAAATTCTAAGTTTACTAAATTCAATCTAAAACAAATGAAAATTTCAAAATTACTAAACTAAATCTAAATCAAATAAAATTCTAAAACTAATAAACTAAACTTAAATCAAATAAAAACTCTAAAGTTATTAAACTAAATAAAAATTATAAACTTATTAGACTAATTCTAAATCAAATAAAAATTATAAATTTATTAAACTAATTCTAAATCAAATAAAAATTCTAAAGTCACTAAATTAAAACTAAACAAATAAAATTCTAAAATTAACTAAATAAAATCAAATAAAATTCTAAAGTTATTAAACTAAACTAAAACAAATAAAAATTCTAAAATTTACTAAATGAAATAAATTCTAAAGTTATAAAATAAATCTAAACTAATTAAAAAAAATCTAAATTAATACTAAACTAAATTAATTATAAAATTTACTAATATATTTTTATTTTTATTTTTTTTAACCAATTATAAAATGTAAAATAACTAAAGGGATATAATTCTAGAAAACAAATAAAATCTGTGTAGCCAAAAACATAGCATCCCTCAAAAGTATACTTGCAACAAGTCAAGGAATAACAAAAAGCAGGGAATAAAATAAATCTAAGCCTACAACAGACTTTAAACACTATAAAGAGAAGAGCTAGTTGAAAAAGAATTCCACTCAAACAATGGCATTGGCAGCACTTGCGATTCTAGGCCATAGATCAGCACACTCCTTACCAATAGGACTAGTAATAGCAGAACCTTTCATTTCTCCCTTAGGATTCACAATGACACCAGCGTTATCTTCAAAGTACTTGAAGACACCGTCCTTTCGGCGCCATGGCTTACGTTGACGAACGATGACAGCAGGCAAAACCTTTTTCCTCAGATTTGGCTTCTTAATTTCACTCCTTACTTTGTTCAGTAAAGCATAATCCAAACCTTTAACCAAATGTGTATGCTCCACATCACCTCCAAGGTACTTGCTCTTCTCAATCGATAACTTATACGCATCAGATGACGTAATATCAACGGCACCAGGAGGAGCAACAACATGAAACCCAAGTTCAGTTTGTTCATAATCAGGATTTTGATCTTCTCTACGTTCCTTAGCTCGATCTCTGTATTTCGGCAATTCTGGTTCTTCCGGTTTTTCTTCCTTGCGGCGAACTGGTTTGTCTTTGTGATTTTTCTAGGATGCAGTCATGGCGGAAACTCGATTGAAAGTGATGTGAATGAAGTTTGAAGTTGGTTATGGCGGAACACTATGAATGCGAGATTGAATTTTTCGATTGAGCTTGTTTCTGGTTTTGAAAACAACAACAAAAATATGCTTCCTATCTACAGCTCTCATGAACCGAACAAACAACAACTTTTCTCAATCAATTTCTCCCTGGTCTCACTTGGTTTTCTAACACTCTAACGGCCTTACAAGCATCTATCATAATCGATAAGCGATTCATGGATTTAAAATAACAGCAAATATCAACTATACCAAATTGCAAACAGAGGAAAGCTTTAAAAGTTACAAACAAGTGATAAGGAGATAAGGAATACCGTTGGAGAGAAGGTTTCTCCAGTTGCAATTCGACGTGAGGTCTGCTAAGGTAAACTTGAATCTGACTTTTTCTACTTTATGTTCCTCTCTTTTCTCATGCTTCTTGTTTCTGCATTTTTGGTACTACCGTGTCTTTGTCGTTGTATTCCTCATTTGAAATTGTTGCTTTGTATGGAACAACACAAGTGTTGCTACTGATGAAATTTCATGTGGTGGTTTGGGTGTTGAAAGGTTTAGTTTGTATTGGCCGCAGATTCAGTGGTTCAGAGAAATGAAGGTTGTATGAAAATTTGGTTCTTAAAGGTTGAGGGAAAGTTGAATGGTGATGAATAGAGGTAAGAAGATATGTTTTTCTGGATTTTTATCAGAGGTGAGTTGAAGGTTGGGAATATTGTGTGATGTAGCAAGGTTACCGAGATTGCCTTTTTGTATGTTATTTGTTTTTGTTTTTGTTCCCCCTTTGCAAAGAAAAAATGAAGCCTTTAAATAGAAAAAGAATAGAAATATTATGATTTCAAAATAAATCCAAGCCGTTCAATATAAATCAATCTCTATCAATCCGCAAATCATGCTTTCGACCAATGAGAATTCAATCTCTATCAATCCGCAAATTATGCTATCGACCAATGAGAATTAAGCGAAGCCTAATTAATATTTTTGTGACCAAAAAGTCCCTGAATGACAAAAATAAAATAAAACCTGAAATTAAAAAATAACTCAATTTAAAATGATTTTTTTGAATATTTTATGAATAAAAAAAATAAAGACCCAAAATGATAAAAAAACGGACGAAAGTTTATCCGAAAAATAAAATGAACACATTAAAATAATCTACATGTCACAAAAATTAAAGAAAAAATATTCAAGAAGTCAAAAATCAAAAATAAAATAATAATAAAAATATCAGACTAAACAGACGTCTAAGGTTAAAAACGAGACTTCGAACTGTACCAAAAAATAAAGCGAGCATACCGTCATAATCTACGCAAAGCGCAGATTCATAAAATGATCGGTAAAAGGTGAAAACTTGAAATATTTTTCTCGCTATTTTTCGCACATTGTTGAATCGCTTTTAACAGTCTGTCTATAAAACCAAAATATTTTTATTATTGACATATAAACAACTTGGAGCAATGCAACAAATAAGTAAATAGATAAAAATACATGAAGCAAAATGCCGGGTATTTTACAACTGAAAGACGATGCAAACTGACTTTTTCTGATCAACTTAAATACGACTAATGATGCAAAATGTGATGAATGAAGATATTTACTAATGATTGTGACCAAATGACAAAATATGGTATGAATGTGCGACTGAAAAAATTAGGGGCGAAATTAAGGGTGCAACGGTGTGCCTTGATGAATCAGTCTTCGAGAATCCATAATCAACCGTACTTTTGGCTTGGGAGACTCAAAACCTTAATTGAGGCGCGACACCTGATGCTCTTGATTCAGACCTGTCTCTGCACATGACACAAAAGAAAACATGAACATACACCTTTGTATGCGATTAGAAATTAGTGATACATAGGCTAAAAATGTTCAAAACACTTGACAATCTTCGCATAGTCAAAGCTCGAAGGTGAGAGGTTAAAATCGACTGTATTTCGTGACCTTGACTTATCTTTAAAAATGCAAAAATAAAAATGGGATCTTAGGTCAAAAATTGGGGTACAACAGCTGCCCCTATTTAAGTTTCTTCTATCTGGAGATATGAAGATTGGGATCTTCATTTCGACGAGATTGAAGGGACTTAAATATAGAAATGCACAATTTTTGGCCTTAAGATATCGCGATTATGTTCATGATATGATATGAATGTAATGCTCTGAATTTTATGGGGAATGACGCCATATGAGACATGCTATGCTGGAGAAACCAAGCACATTATACAGTAATACCACAGAGGAAGAGGTTGTAACTCCACTGGGGAAACAAAGTCATAGACTTCAAAGGAGAGACTCTTATTAAAGAATAACTTTGAGGGAAAATATGAATGATTTACATCAGTACGAGACTGGAAAAGAAAATGATTTACATCAGTACTGAGACTAGAGAAGGGAAATGATTGACATCAGCACTGTGGCTGGAGATAAACATCTCTGATTCCTGAATTTTACCAAGAACGGTAACACATTTCTTCTTTAACCAAGATATCGCTTGAAAAGGATAAAATAACAAACTTCCCCACGGGACTTTTCCAAAGGGATGCCATTTGCTGAGTAAACATTATTGTTGGGGATACACAAGCTGCTCAAATAAAGAGGCCGCCACTTGCTTCCTTTCAAAGGTGTCAATAACATACAAGCTGCTCATGAAAAGACCGCCACTTGCTGTCTTCAAAGAAAATTAAAGCATACAAGCTGCTCATGAAGAGTCCGCCACTTGTCGTCTTCAAAGAATATCAAAGCACACCAGCTGCTCATGAAGAGTCTGCCACTTGTTGCCAATAATCCACAAGCTGCTCATAAAGAAGCTGCCACTTGCTGTCTTCCAAAAATACTAACGTACAAGCTGCTCATGAAGAAGCTGCCACTTGCCGTTTTCAAAAAGTGTTGATAACATACAAGTTGTCCATGAAGAGACTGCCGCTTGCTGTTTTTAAAAGTGTTGATAACATACAAGTTGTCCATGAAGAGACTGCCGCTTGCTGTTTCTTTTCAAAATTACCAATAACACACAAGTTGCTCATGAAGAGACCGCCACTTGTTGTTTTCTTCAAGGTATCAATAACATACAAGTTGCTCATGAAGAGACCGCCGCTTGTTGTTTTTTAAAGTTGTTAATAACATAACAAGTTGCCTCGTGAAGAGACTGCCGCTTGATGTTTTCGAAAGTGTTGATAACATACAAGTTGTCCATGAAGAGACTGCCGCTTGCTGTTTCTTTTCAAAATTACCAATAACACACAAGTTGCTCATGAAGAGACCGCCACTTGTTGTTTTCTTCAAGGTATCAATAACATACAAGTTGCTCATGAAGAGACCGCCGCTTGTTGTTTTTTAAAGTTGTTAATAACATAACAAGTTGCCTCGTGAAGAGACTGCCGCTTGATGTTTTCGAAAGTGTTGATAACATACAAGTTGTCCATGAAGAGACTGCCGCTTGCTGTTTCTTTTCAAAATTACCAATAACACACAAGTTGCTCATGAAGAGACCGCCACTTGTTGTTTTCTTCAAGGTATCAATAACATACAAGTTGCTCATGAAGAGACCGCCGCTTGTTGTTTTTTAAAGTTGTTAATAACATAACAAGTTGCCTCGTGAAGAGACTGCCGCTTGATGTTTTCGAAGGTGACAATAACACACAAGTTACCTCATGAAGAGACTGCCGCTTGCTGTTTGTCACGAGTATCCATAACACACAAGTTGTCTCATGAAGAAACTGCCGCTTGTTGTTTTTCAAGAGTAAAATAACACACAAGTTGTCTCATGAAGAAACTGCCGCTTGTTGTTTGTCAAGTGTATCCATAACAGACAAGTTGTCTCATGAAGAAACTGCCGCTTGTTGTTTCCCAAAAAGATACCCATAAAATATCGTGAAGATATTGCTGGAGGTGAAAACCAATAATTTCATCGGGGATGGACAAACTGCTCATGAAGAGACCGCCATTTGTCGTAGAGAAATCAGAAATAATCAAACTGCTTAAATAAAGAGTCAGTCACTTGTTGTCATGTCGATATTCCAGAAGAAGATTGTGATAACACTACTGGGGAATAAAGTTCATCTTCAATGGGGAACCATGAATAAATCCTTCTTGAGGAGACCAAGTCTTTACGTTGCAAAATAAATTCACTCTCCATCTAGGTTTCATAGCCTAGAGATATCCACAGGGTATCGTTCACAAGAGACAAAGCTCAATCCAGGAATAAACTGGAGAGAAAACAGTCAAACAAGACTCCACCCAATGAGGAAATAACTCAAATGGGGATTTATCCTATCCAGAGATGGAAAAGGAAAGCTAAAGCAAGATTCTTCCACGAGAGTTAACTCAGAGGGGAATTAGAAAGAAGGCACACTTTATGCTTAAGTTGACATTCTATTTGGAAAGATCAAATACGCTATTTGAATAGACATAACCAAGGTATACGTACTCAAAGACATCAACAAATACAATTGTGCATGCATGATGCAAGTGTGAATGAATAAATGAATGTCATGTATATGCGGACAAAACAGACAGGGGAGATGGACAGAAAATGATAAGACATCACAGTACAACTCGACACTCGGCTAATCTCAACAGGGTGGTAACATTACTGGAGATAGAAATAAAAACCATCATTGGAGCAAAGTCCTTTTACAAGGCTTAAATCTCTTTGGAGAGGAAGATATTTTCAGGTAGAAAACCCAAAGTCTAGTCTTCTATTGCAAATAATCCATTGAAAGGATAACAACACAAACATTGTTTCAGCTGGAAAAAGTCATTCTTAGCTGGAGGTACTGGGAACACCACCCTTTGATAATGTATGAAAAACATATCTTGACAAATCTGGATTGCCCCTGGGATTAATTTTGGATGCCCCAAGTTTACTGCTGATAAGCTGCATGTTGCACGACAATTCTTGCGAATAACTTCACTTCTAACATGCCCCAAGCTATATGGTTGATGAGGAGAAATCGTCTCAAGAGGATTTTACAAAAGACCTGGCATTCACCATGCTCTGGTGTCTTCAAACTCTTAGAGGAATTCATCAAATTTCGACGTGATTGCCCCGGATTGATTGTAGTTGGCACAACAAAGTCTTCAAATTTTTGCCCCAAAAGGGTAAACAAGTTGGAAAAGCATTAACTGGGAGAAGCAACATGTTCGTGCTTACGGTCTTCAGGTGACATGCCTCTGCATATGATTTTTTTTCTTGAAATGATCCGCCAATTACTCAATAGAGCTTCAGGCCTTA